CAATAGTTTCCACATCACTGAAGGCAAAATTGCAGATGAATCCTCGCAGCTATCAGGAAACTTCGGTTAAAAATTAAGCAATTGAAAAAAATCTCCAATCAGTTCACTCAACGAAAGAAATCAGTAAACAAATCGATCATTGGCATAACCAGCACAGAATTGTTCTAGCAGTGCTGCTTAACATCACAAGGATTTTTGAAAAATGGGCTCCAAATCTTGGATCATAGACAACTGGTACAGTTCCGTTCTGTCAAATATAGCGAAATACATGAACTGGCCATGTATAGGATTCGTAACAGGCATTGTGAAACCTTGTCGTGCATTGAACAATCACTATTATCAATGGTACTCCGTCCAATTCGAATAGGGTCAGAAATCGTGAAGTCTACAATCCGCTGAAGTAGATGTGCAAGTCCATTCATTCTAGGCTTTATTCAACCAGTGATCGCCCCAGTGATTTAATCTCATCTGTCTAGCTACTTCACCGAGGTTAACATTCACAGCTGTTCACCTTGCTAGCAAGCCAGAAAAAATGGACCCTGATGAACAGGTGTAAAGCTGCAAATGAATGCAAATACAAATGAAACTTTTTAATGGGATAATGGAGTGCACAGCGGATTCTCAGTCGTTGTGCGAGGACTGAAGCTCGGAAACATCTGAACATGAACGCTTCAGCTGAGGGTAGATGAGAGAACGATATTTAAATACTTGATTGGACCTCAAGGAATAACCTCCATTCAGATCACTGGCAAACTCTGAATAAGCCTCTGAATAAGTAAACAGGGAAGGTAAAGCGAAACGACAACGCAAAGACCTCTCTAAAGTTGCCAACACAACATTCAATAATCATATTAATCATTGAAAATTCAACATAAAGACAAAAACAACAAAATATATTCGTATGCCCAAGTACATTACTGTAACGAAAGACCCATACATGGCAAGATTTCACAGCGCATTGCACCGTCATCTTGGATGTGATTGCCAATGTGACCACGACTCCATGGCATTCGAGCATCTGCAGCACCGGATGTATTTTGTTCGCTAGAGTCACCTTACGGTTCACCCAGGCAATTAGGAACAAAAGAGCGGTGCTATATGCGATAAAATCTGATCTTGGAGGAGTTACGCGTTAAATAACATCAGCGTTACCTAAAAACTATAATACGTGTTACAGTAAGGACAATTACCTCTTTTAGCATGAGACCCAAGTGTTTTACGCCAATCCAGCGATTTGTCATTATTTGTGACGGTTGATATTCTACTACCCGTCCATCCGAAATGCATTAACAATTTGCCTTCCATGCCAATCGGTGCAGAAGGTGTCTTAAAGCCCAATCACCTCTTCATTAAAAGCCCACGCAGGAAACTATAACGTACGTCAAGCTCACTTCAGTCTTATCATGGTTTAAAATATGTTCAGATAACTATTCTATACAAACACGTCTTTGGTTCAAACACAGAAATCTGTTTTTAACTATATCACTTGAAGACCAGAACTTGCTCCTTACATGTTAAAGAGTTCATCTAATACGGTCGATGAGCTCTTATCTGACACTGATAGTCATCAGTTTAGTTATGTAATTATCATTAAACTTCACTTCATTGTCATTAGCAAAAACTAAGTCATAAAGCGACGGTATCACCTGATAAAGAACGAGGCAGGTGCTGCTGAGAAAACTATCAGATGAACGCAGTGACCCGTGCGTGGCTGAACTCGATAAAACAGGGAAAGCAACGAGATTGCAAAAAAAACATTCAAAACTTTTTTACGTGGAAACCACAAGGTAGCCATTAACGTGTGGGAAGGCCATAAAAAACGTTGAAATACATCTTTGAGGCTGTTGGTTACGACGAGAAGTACAATCTTCGTCGCAGCAGCAAGGAACTGTGTTGAATGTCAATCTGAAGTACCATTTTTAACAGGCAAATATTACAAATCTGGTCTACTCTGTTATTTAAGGTTTGTTAGACTCAGATGACCATGATAAAACAACATGAATGAAAGCTCTTTAAATAGCATACATATCATTTTTTTTTCATAAATTTAAAAACGTTGAGACTTTAAGGAATAAATGGAAAACCAATCATGATTACAATGATACCTGCCAGCAGTGATCGTTCCCAGTCGTCGAGGAATCTTGTGTTTAGCATGGAAGAGGTTAATGAAGTTGTCTAACTCAGTTGGATTACAATGATCACAGTAGGGAATCCAAAAAACAAACGGAGCCGAAAGCAGCTCTTGCAAAAATGGTCTTTTCCGAACGACGGTCGTCAGAAGGAGGATGATCACCGAACCGTTGGCCGCAGCAGCAGATCTCAGTGCTGCTTTTATCGACCGTAAGCTTATTAGCTCCATTCGTGCAGCGACAGGGTCGTTGGTGAACACGTCCGGAAGTCCGATCAGCTTTGCGATATCCACTCGTTCTTTTGGCGCCAGTATATGGACGCCGAAGGTCTGTGCAATGGCTATCAGCAGTTCCTCTTTACCTAGCTTCTGTTGAGGCATAACGAGAAAAACCTTATCAGGCAAATGTCCACGCAGGATATTCAAGGCCTCTTCACGTGCCTTATCACGAGAGGGCCAATGCAACGATTCTTTGGAAACGCTTTCTTCCCAGTCATAAGCGTAATCATCGAAGTACATCTTATCCACAGGGGATGACCACCATCGCTCCGGTACAACGGAGCAGTCCTCAAGTCGAAAATCTCCCGTACAAACAACCCTTCCAAAATGACCCTCAAACAAATACATCACGGATCCTGGGCAGTGTTCAGCATCGATCGCAGTAACGGTTGCGCATTCAGATTCCGGATCGCTCCCCCATGTCAGTGGATGAGTTTCATTAAGTTGCAGAGGATGCAAAACGTCGCGTTCAAAGTTGAAGAAGTAGGCTAAGATTTTTGCCGTCACTTCCGAACAGTATATTCGATGCTTCCATTTCGCAGATAACCCTTGATAGTGTTCGGAATGAGCATGAGTCAAAAAGCAAAGTGCTAGTTTCGAATAACAAAGTTTCTTACTGAAATGATCTATGACGATGGGGGTACCTACGATGCGCATCTGAGGTTTGTTGACCATGTTCGCCTGCAAATTGACGTGGCGACAAAAATCTAAACAAAACCAACTGCAAAGATAAAAATGTTACAGATCTTCAAATCTGCGATCTCGACAAACTTTCTATCAACAATATGACAAAAGTTGAAAACTTCTAACCCAAGGTAAGATAGATCAATTTATATAAGTTAAGAGGTAAAACGAGAGAATTGAATAGAAGCTGTTATTTCTCATGAATTTTTAGCTTAAATCGCCTGAACGCAGCACTTGTCTCCTATGAGAATGTGGGGAAAAGACTCAATGTTCGCCGAATGAATAGAAACAGTAAGTTTCTCTGATTTCATCAGCTTCGGCATGCAGGAACGAGTTTAGAAGTTACTAACAAAACCCGCCATGGCCGGTCCCAAGCCCGGATGAGAAACGAGGAGGGTTGGAGACCGTGGCAAGTCTCCGTAAAA